GGTCAACTGAGGCTCGTCCTGGTTATGTGATGCCCACAGGGTTGAAAGAGAAGCCAGGGACAAAAGGAGTCACTGGTTAACCAAAGGGCTTCCTGTTCTCAAATCCACTGCTCCTTCCGTTACGTGGTGTCTAGAAGGAGGCTCAGTTGGATATAGACATTAAATAACCTGGAGGTCAGTGTATGTTGTGGTCAAGCGTGTGTGGTCTGCAGCCAGTGGCCTGAGATGCAGTCCTGATATACGCTTCTGGCTGGGCACGTGGGAGCTACACACATCTCTGTGTGCCTCGGTTTCCATGTGTAAACATCTTAGACTAGCACTTGCCTGTGGTTGGCACCTGGTGAGTGTCAGCCTTCTCTAATGCAGGCAGCATGAGGGCGCCCAGAGGGTGACGTTCCAGCTGTCATCCCCAGGTCTCAGCTGATTATGAAGAGGTATCAATTTCCAGCGGAGGAGCCACCCTCTGTCTCATCATTTGTTTGTCTCGTCTTGCTTTAATATCACAGCACTGCCAGTCAAACCACACAAAAGGGTTTGTGATGACTTGCCACGCATTCTCGCGAACTCCAGCCCTGACTTGCCTGCAAGCCAGGAGCCAACATAAAACCTTCATTTTTCCCTTAATCTTGCTGCCTTTGCATCTCATTTTCAAACTTCATTTTATCAACTTTTTTTGCGCTATTTGTTTCTGGATAAAGGATTCGCAAAATTGTTCAGCATGTGGTCAGGAAGCCCTATGGCCTCCTGATGAGGCAGCCTGGGGGTCCTCCTGTGGTCCGAAGCTGCAGCCGGGCTGGCCTTCCACAGTCAGGAGCAGCATCAGGCTGGGTGCTTCTCACACCAGCGAAGGACACGACTGTCCCAGCCCTCATCCCTAGGGCTCACGCCTCATGCCCAGACTTGCACCTGCTTTGGAACCGCTGGAGACGAGTGAACAGCAAAAGCTGAAGTCATGCCTCTCATCCAGATCTAAAATGACCGTGTGTCAAACATTTTTACTGAAATGATGAATTGAATGGGAACTGGTAAGAAGGTGCAGCCAGTTCAAAAGAGAAATCCAAGAACCCTAAATGTGTAAGGAGTGCAGGAATGTTGAAATGGACTTCAAACGGGTGCAGCTGTATTCTCCAGTGGAGACAGCCAGTGTCAACTTCCGTGCTTATTCCAAATTTCCTCATAGCCTCCCCCCCCTTGTCTAACATAATCTCAAAGAGAGATTATTCTGGATGGCAGAATAAGGCTGATCCCCCTAGGTGTGGCATCCTTGCTTGCACAGAGGTGGCAAGAGTGCCACCATGCCATACAGGCCTTTTTCGGTTTGTTTTGCTGGAAGACCTCATAGTTGTACTTTAAAAGCCTCTGTTATTTGCTATCCTGAGGTTAGGAAACCAAACACAAAAAGCTTTCCTCCAGATTTCACCTGCAGTACTTATAAATTTGATAAACCCCTCTCTTCTCAAGGGCCCCATGATAATCCAAAACCCTGGCCTGCCAGAGTGCAGCCTTTTTTCCCAGCTTGGAGGCTGCGACCCTGCGAGCCCCTGCCCTCCCCCAGGGGACTTTGTGAGCGTGGATGCTGCACAGTCACTCTCGGCCCCTTAAGAGTGGTCGCAGCCCAGCAAATAAGTGTCGTTCTCACACACGTCTTTCAGGCCCAGGCGCGGTTGCATAAACCTTCCCCAATTATATCCTGGCAAGAAGGAGGACAGATCCTTCCGGAACCTTTGCAGATATTGCCACAAAAAGTAAAGCCTTCCTAAAAGTTTGAATTTGGGGAGGAAGGAGAGCAGATGGTGAAAATCAGATATCACTTAAAAATTACTCATTTCAGTTTACAAAAAATCTAGGTCGTTAAAGGTTACTGATAGCTTGAGAAGACAAGGAAAGGGCTTCCTTGCAGAGCCGGAAAGTCCAACAGTATAACGACATGCATGATGCCGAAAAGTAAAGCGTTCCTCACTCATGCCACTCAGGGGTCCGTAACGGATTCTCCACTGGCTCCTGGGTTGTAGGCTCATGCAGCCGGATGTTCCTCTACTGAAAAGAGCCCCGGAAGCCCTGGGCAGCCCACTGGCAGGGTCCGAATATCATCCGAGGAAAGCCATCAGAAGCTGTCCCCAGGAGTCTGCGCTTGCGGGTCAGTCATTGGAGGTGCTTACTGCAGTCCTTTTCCATGGGGCTGGAAGCTTCTGCACTGAATCACAAGCTCTGGCCTCCAGCTGGGTGCAGAACGTTCTGGGGAGGCATCGGAGTTAAAGCGTCTGTAGATGACAGCCACCCCTTTTTTGGCCCATTTTACAGCAGAGGAAATTTAGGTTCAAAGAAGTTGAATTGAGGTTTCCAGGAGTGAGAAGCAGTCAAGGATCCCCCTGGGCCGCCTGGCCTCACGCCCTGGCCCCACGCTCCTGAGATGAGGAAGCCCCAGGCCCATGAGCCCAGTGCCCTTGGCAAGGCCACTTCCCTTCTGAGTAAAGTCAGACGAGCCTCCCCGGTCCCAAGAGACTGATTCCATAATCATCCTCCCCTCACCTTTTGAGATCTTGCTGGTGGGTGCACCCCCTTCAAGCCAGCCCCAAGAAGCCATGATATGAGTTGGTCTTGAGAGATGTGTCTTGAGAGAATTTAACTCAAAGATCATCCCCCGTGCACTCCGAGGGGCTGGGACAGGATGTGGTGCCTTCGTGCACACAAGGAGAAGCGCCCAGTGGGGAGGGGTGGGGCGAGGACTTTATCAAGGGGTCATTTGCTGCGGCCACCCAGGTTGGAGCGCAGGGACCACAGGGCCCCCCGCCTCCTGTAGGACTACCCCTCTCATCTGAGGGAGATACCCTACAAACACATCCTTGAGCAGTGGCTTCTAATCCAAGAACCCCAGTAGAAGTTAACGCAGATTCCCGGGGCCCAACTCAGACCCACTGCGTGGGAATCCCTGAGCTGGGGCCAGAGGCACACTTTGAAGAACATCGAGCTCCTTAGCCGGCCCCTTGCAAACCGCATCCTGCTTCTCCAGAAGCTCCAGATCCAGAATGTTTACAGAAAGAGTCCTTCTTGCCTTCCTCTTCTTCCACCCCTGCCCTCTGCAGACCGGGGTCTGTAGACCCCCAAAGTAAGCCCGCCACACCAGGAGAAAGGGAGTCACACAGGGGCCCACGTGGGAACCACTTTTTGTCCTGTCTTGGTGGGAAAATGGCCATGACCCCAGCCCGGGCTCTGCTACGCAACAACTCCACGGCATAGCCTGGGAGACCACGGCGTGGACTGTGACTCGGGCTGAGGATGGTGTCGTGGTGGAAGTGAGGGTCTGGCACCCGGCCAAGCGCAGGACTCCTCGGCAGTGGGGTTGGGAGAAGCAGCCTCTGCACGTGAGGCCGGGAACCAGGACGTGGGAGAAGAAGCACATCCCGGAGGAGGGAGCTCTGGGAGGAGCCAGCAGAGTTCTGCAAAGGAGGATGTGGGGAAAACGGGAAGACCAAAGTGGGGGCTGCTGAAGGGGCTACTGCACCCATACAAGCATGGCCAGGACCGAGCTGCGTAGGCAGCCGGGGATACAGCCGATGCCACAGACGTCAGGAACCACGCAATGACACAGGCTACCTTTGACCGACCATTACCCCTGGGGCAGATACCAGTGGGGATAACGGGCAAGGCGAGGTGCTGTTTACTGTCTTATTGTCGCCAGTTCAGCAGCCCACAGGAAATGGTGTTAGTCACAGAAAAAAAAAAAAAAATCTGTTTTCTATATTTCACTGTTTCTAAGTAAAGAAAAAAGAAAACTAATCTTAGCTTTAAAAAAAAATGGTGCACTGGGCACCGAAAAATAACCATCTTCCCAGGCCTGCGTTTCCCCCACGCCAGGGACTTGTGCTGGAAAGAAAAGCTGCATTGGCAGCCAGGAGCCGGGGAAACTGTCCAGGGAGGCATCCACCGCGATGAAGGCGGGGCCTGGGCGTGGCCTGTTCCATGCTCTGCCAGCCCTGGAGAAGCCCCACCCTCACCGAGCTCGAAATGCCGCCTCCCTGAGAGCCGAGACTTCTCCCTGAGAGCCGGGACCACTTGGACAAAAGATGTGGATGCCAACCCGGCGTTTCCACCGCACCCTGGATGGTATTGGGGGTGAGCGCGGCCATCCCGTGCAGAGGTCCTGTTTCTCTGCAGGAGCCAGTTTCACTGCGGGCGTCCAGGATCCTCAGCGGTTCTGTCGTGATGTGATTCCCCTCTTTGACTTCATCATTCAGCCTCTGTCCCTCAGTCCCCAAATACCGAAAGGCATTCTTTTTTTTTCTTTTTTTTTTAGATGGAGTTTCACTCTTGTTGCCCAGGCTGGAGTGCAGTGGCGCGATCTCGGCTCACTGCAACCTTGGTCTCCCAGGTTCAAGCGATTCTCCTGCCTAAGCCTCCCAGGTAGCTGGGACTACAGGCGCCTGCCACGACGCCCGGCTAATTTTTTGTATGTTTAGTAGAGATGGAGTTTCACCATGTTGGCCAGGCTGGTCTGGAACTCCTGATTTCAGGTGATCCGCCCGCCTCAGCCTCCCAAAGTGCTGGGATTACAGGCATGAGCCACTGAGCCCGGCATTTTGTTTTTTTTTTTTTTTAAGTTAATGAACTTAAATTTTATTTTATTTACAGAATGGCCCCCATGAGATACTTGAAGACCTGGTGCCCAGTGAGTGTTGACCCCAGGTGGTCAGTCCTGCCTGGCCCCTTCCAAGGGATGCGCCATCTCCATAACTATGTCACCGACAGGCGTGTGGGCAAGGGGGGTCGCTGTATTTTTCGCATCTCTTTCCACTGAACGCAACAATGACATTTTTCACCACCCGTATGTATCAACCGAATGAAAAGATGAGCCTGTGACTTTCCAGTGCCTAGGGTCACAGTTTTTCTTTTCAGAATGAACCTTCAGTTTGGAGCCGGAGCAGAAGCACATGGCCTCTGACGTCTCCAGGGGGACCCCCCGCCCTCGCTGCCGCCTCACCGCGCTTCTGTTTTGCAGGTGATCTTCAGCAAGTACTGCAACTCCAGCGACATCATGGACCTGTTCTGCATCGCCACCGGCCTGCCTCGGTGAGTGCGGCTGCGGGCTCTGCCTTTTCAGAATGCCTGGGAGGGGCAGGAAGAGGCGCAGAAGGGCCCGAGGGACCCGCCTGCTATGAGGGGCTCTTTGAAATCAATCAATGCGCAGAATCCCGAAGGAGGCTCGGCGCCCTCCGGGCCTCTCTGCCTGCACACGTGATGGCTGTGTCCACACGGAGGAGACCGTCCGGCTGAATTAAACAGAACCGCCCTCCAAGGGGTGTGGGTTTTTCTGCTGGTCGTGGTGGCTCACGCCTGTAATCCCAGCACTTTGGGAGGCCAAGGTGGGCGGATCACCTGAGGTCAGGAGTTCGAGACCAGCCTGGCCATCGTGGTGAAACCTCCTCTCTACTAAAAATACAAAAATTAGCCAGGCGTGGTGGCGCGCACCTGTAATCCAGCTACTTGGGAGGCTGAGGCAGGAGAATTGCTTGCACCCTGGAGGCAGATGTTGCAGAGAGCTGAGATCATGCTATTGCATTCCAGCCTGGGCAGCAGAGCGAGACTCTGCCTCAAAATAAATAAATACCTAAAAAAGAGTGTGGGTTTTTTCCTCTCACTTCTTCATTCACTTTTGGAGAAAGCGGGGTCACTCTGTGTGAGTTTGTCCCTAGCCCCACATCACCCATAGGTGCCTTTTCTGCCCAGGGGGCTTGACCCAGATCAACACTGGGCGAAAGGCTGACTTCAGAAATGGGTTGAAAAGACCAGTGATCTGCCTTATCGAGCCCTCAGAGTCCCCCAGGAGTTAATGTCCTAAATCAACAGTGTGTTCCAACCAGTGGATTTTCTAATTATCAGCAAACTTTCTGATTATAAAGGGTGAGCAGCAGTAGCTTTGGCTCGAGGATTAACTTTAAAGTTAGGACGGAGGTAGAGAAGGGCAATTGAAGTTTTTCACAGACAGGTGAGAAAATGGAGATGACATTACATGTCTGAAAGTGCAGCAAATGGCAGTTTTAGCAGCAAAAGTAGCCCATGGTCTGGGGCATCGCTGGGCACCGTATGTGAAGCACTGTGCCGATAAATAAATAAATATATAGACACATTATTCCACAGAGCATCCCTGGGATTCGCGTCTCGCCTCTATTGCACAGATTTTAAGAACTTACCGCTGAAGATCAGAGAGTAACGTGGTCGAGGTGACACAGCGTGCAAGAGGCCCCGGAAGACGTGAGGTTGGGGGAAGACTCATTCTAACCGTTTAAAACGATTTTGTAGGAGACAGTTGTGCAGTTCAGATGGACTCCCAAAGGTACTGGAAGTGGAAAGACAAAACTATGAATTCGTCATCTGCTGATATAAATGTTAGTTCCTATTTTACCACAGGTTTTAAAAAATAATCTCCCAACTCAAAAACGTAGACTAGCTCCAATTCCCATTTTAAAGTATTTCAGCATCTACACACACTTAGGGTTATACACAGCTGCTTAATTTCATTTACAAACAGAATCTCAAAGGCCTGGGGACAGCCTCCCACCCTTCCCATCCTACCGCACTTTGGCCAGGCTGGTCCTGGGACTGTCCTGGTTGTCTCAGGGCTCTGGCCCCATGTGTACATTCAAGTGTACGTCCCAGAGCACGCTGTGGGTGAAAACACGGGCTTGGGTGTGTTTTCCAGGAACACGACCATCTCCCTGCTGACCACTGACGATGCCATGGTCTCCATCGACCCCACCATGCCCGCGAATTCAGAACGGTAAGAGGCTCCGGCCACGTTCCTCAGGGTGTGTCTGGCACTTCTCTCCTTGACATGGGAGGCTTTCTGTGATTTTGTAAATGTGCTTCTGCAGGAAGGTGTGAATTGACAGCAGAGATGGAGGGCGAGGGTAGGAGCGAGTGTGAAGGAGTCTTGACTCCTCATGTTCCCCGCAGAGGAGCTGGGCACGTTCCAAGATAACAATTGCAGCCATGGCTCTGCACCCGCTTCTCAACAGGAGGAAGCATTGTACAGAGGGGAAACTGAGGCCCAGGAGGGTGAGCCGAGAGCTGCAGAGCCAGGCCCCGGAATCTCCACATTAACCCCAGGAAGGACCGCTGGAGATTCCCTACAGAGCCCCTGGGGACATTTCGTGTTTACCCACTTGGGGCTGGTCTCTGTTTTCGTAAAGTGATGCCTGTGGGAGGGTCTATGCACAGAAGGGGCGGGGATGAGGGAGGCCCAGGAAGTCAAGAGGAGAGGCCAGTGAAAGCCTCCATGAATGTCTGTGACCTAGGTCAAGCCAGCGGTGTGTGGCCCAAGAAGGACACGGAGCAGGGGCTCTCAGGTCAGTGACCTGCCCCTGTGCCTGGTGACCCGGGGAGACCCCACTAGCCTCCACTGCTCTTTGTGGCTGGGCAAAGTGGAACTTAGATTTTGTCATGAGGCGAGGGAGCAGGTGAGCTGGGGCGTGCGACCTCAGGACCCCTCTCTGGTGTCCTCTGTTCCTCCCAGATTGGGGCTCACTGAGCCTCCAAGGGACTCAGTAGATGCGATGGGACACTTGTCAATCTGGTCATCAGGGTGTCCTGCCCAGCTGACCAATGGCCAGCTCTGAGCCCACAGGAGAAAGTGCGTGTCAGGGAGACCCTTGTGTCAGCGAGGCCCCAGTGGATGTGGCCAGCGCCATCCTCCTCAGCGTGGTCCCGGTGGACGTGGCCAGCACTGTCCTCCTCAACAAGGTCCCAGTGGACATGGCCAGCACCGTCCCACTCAGTGAGACCCCGGTGGACTTGGCCAGCGCTGTCCTGGTCAGTGAGGCCCCAGTGGACATGGTCAGCACCGTCCCCCTCAGTGAGGTCCCAGTGGACGTGGCCAGCCTCATCCCCCTCAGCGAGATCCCAGTGGACGTGGCCAGCGCCGTCCCCCTCAGTGAGGTCCCGGTGGAC